AAGGGCCAAAACCCCCCCCCCCCCCCGACGGATTGATGGGGTGGGGCGGGGAACGTCACGCCCTGCCCCGAACCCGCCTTGTGAATATTAAAAAAAATAGTATTTTTTATATTGTTTTTTCGAGTGTTTCTTTGAATAATGATATTAATTTGAACATTATTTGTTTCGAATTTTTAAATTTTGAATTTGTATGTTATAATTAAATAGTATAACTCTAAATTTTGAAAATGTGTAAAAAAAATTAATTAATTAATTAAATGAGGGCAGTAAACGGGGCAAAAAACTGTAGGGTGGGGTTGGGGCGAGACGGCCCCGAACCCGTCCCGTTGCCATCACTAATTTTAATATAGTCTATCACTTCAATCGTCTTTGTAGTCTCTTCCACGAATAATTTCTCAAGTTTACAGCTTAATAAATAAATCTTGTCCATAATATTCTAATTTCTGTCATGTTTCAAAACTTTTTCGAGTTTATCATACCAACACTTCAAAGAATTATCATCTACAATCTTCAATTTTTTATTATTATTATTTTTTTAAAGAATCAATCAAAAATTAAAAAAATATTGCATATATTTTTTAAATCATTCAAACCTTAACTTTAATGAAGAAACAGCCCGATCAACATATAAAATAAATAATCAACTCTAAAAGATTTCTTCATTTCAATGTGTTATCTTATTATTTAAATTTCCATCCCAGTGTTTCTTTGTATGAATAATATGTTTTTCATAAGATATCTGTTCAACTTCCATTTGAATAACAATTTTTTTGACAATAATCTTTTCAAATTCGATTTCTTGATATATTTCAAAAAATAAAATAAGTGATTTTGAGAAACAAACAGCAGCATCAATAAACATGTCATCACTTTACAATATTTTGTTTACTCTATAAATAAATGATATATATTGTACCAAATAATCATGTCAAGAAAGAACTTAAAATTCATAATGTCAAAAGATAAATTTTAGTATCTCTAAATGTCTAAAGGTCGTAATGTTCTTGCCTTGATTATCATTATGGAATACCCCAAAAAAAAAAAAATAAATAAATAAAAAATCACACACACACAAACACTCCTCCTTTAATTGGACTTAACTAAGCTAACATTTACATTTAAAAAAAAAAAAGATTAGTATGTTTGCTAATTGGACATCTTAGTTAGCTTGATTGATTGTATTTCAACTTTATTTTGTTTGTAATTTTTTATGAACTAAATGTAATAATTTTTCTAGACCCTCATAAAAGTGGAGGTTTAAGGTAATCGTTTACCCTGCTTACAATCAGGATGGCCACTGTCCTCAACTATCGTCATCCAACCTTTAATCAATGAAATCAATCACTTGTGACTTCTAAATCATACTACTTGCAACTCCAGGATCAGACTTCTACCAGATTTGAAGATTATTATAGGGGGTTAGTGGTAGGATTCATGGTGCACCTAGGAATGGCTTTTCGGCTCATTAGCTCGGGCCGCTCATCCATTCAGGGAGAAGGGGCCAAGCTCGATCCGGCCTGCAAGCCTTATTAAAAAATAAAATAAAAAAAGAACCCCCAAAAAGCTGCCTTAATAGGCAGTTGGCGCACATTTTACCTGACTTGAGCCGGAGCCTTGAGTTTCGACTTGCGAGTTGACTCGACTTGACTCGGTGATATCCCTAAGTGCACCTATAGAAGGATCAGGACCCTATCATCACAAGGCTTAAATATTCGAATATGTTGATTATTTTCTATCACAAGTGTATCATATCGTAACAAGTAATATAATAGACCTATAAATTTGGATGATCATCCATACGAAGACGATTATTTAATTTCTAATTTATTATTTCTAATTCCTAATAAATGAAAACAAAGCTTAGTTTTTGATTAATGATCTAAATAAAAACTATACTTATATTAATTAAACGCCCATAATTAATCAAATTAGGTTTTTTAAAGTATGAATATAGATGTTAGGATTTACAATTTCATCTATTCACGATCATCTTTAATTCATCAATTTAACTACCTCAAGTGCAAATTGATCGTAGTCAACTAAATCAATTCACCGTATCTCTATGAGAATTCGAATAAGCATTTATTAAATACATTAAATTCCTAAGAACCCATGTAACAACCGTGATAAACATAAAAATGTATCTCTCCACTTTTACTCGAATGATGAGATTTTATTATGGGGCTAAATCTATAGCTTATCTCTTGAATTGTTACAAATTCACACATCATTGAATTAGTGACCAATCAATTTAAAACATTAAACTCCATAAATAAAATAAACAAATGTAAATTTAAAGTACCAAGATCTTGAAAATTGAAAAGGCAACAATAAATTACATTGTTTGCTTAACTAATAATTTAGCTATTTTATACTAATTAAAGAAAAAAACAAATGTATAGAGTTCATCACTGAATTTTGAAATCCTAATGAAGAAAAAATTGGATCTTGCACCGAGAAATCTTTTTCAATCCCAAAAATATTACAAGTCTTAACTTTTTGCTCTTTGATCTTGGCGTTTTATGTGCTTTCTCCCTAAAATTGTGTCCGGTAAAAGAGAATAATGGAAATTACATATATAATTTAAAATAACTCTAAAAATAATCTTAAAACATGTTCCATATAGAATTTGAATATAATTAGGGAACCAATAAAAGCTGGAATTTATTTCTATTTCCTGCACTTTGGTTCCCTAAAATAATTTTTTGTACATTCCGTGTCCTTATTATTTGTATAACAGGTTCCCAACTTCAAGATTTGATTATTTTAGTCTTCAATTCTTCAATTTTGTATAACTTCAATCCATTTTCATCCAAATTGGAATTTTACGTATAATTAACATAATTTAACTTGATATCTGCTCAATCAAATGATAAATAAATAAAAATAAAAACTAAGATAAAACTTAAGGGCCGATTCGATAGTGATTATAAGAATTGATTTTTTGATCTTTAGAGAGAAAAGTGAATTCCAATCGTGAGTGAAGAAGTAAAAAATGACAATTGGAATTATAAAATAACGGTAAAAAAATTGATTTTTTAAGTAAAAAATAAGAACGGGAGCTTATAAAATACTCTTATGAGGGCCATTGAAATTCATATAACAAAAAAAAAAATAATAAATAAATAAATTTAGCCTTTCACGTCTGGCTGGGGGTCCAAGTCCAACAAGTCAATTCCAAGAACAAAGTTGCAATATTATTAAATTTTTTTTAACTAAAACTGTAACCCCATTTTTGTTTGGTATTATAATCTATGAAATGATTTTTTTTTTTTGAATAATGTGTAATTAAAAATAATTTTTTTTTTAATTTACATATAATATTATTTTATAAAAATATTGTATGAATACAAATAAAATAGAGAAAAATTGTAATTTGAAACAATGGGGTCAGATGGCAGCTTTATCAAACGTGGTCAAATTACTTCGAAAGAAATGTAAAAAATGTCAAAATATTGCCAAACTGGAAAGCAGCATATTCTTGGAGTGAGGTCGTTAATATGCTTGGTGAATGATCCATGACCCCTCTACACAAATGGACGGAGATGGAACGATTGAAAACCCATTTTTTATTCCGAGAAGAGAGCCTCTTTTAACCAAATCTATTTGTTGTTATCTGAATTGTGGGCTCCTATTCATGTCCTAGACTTCAAACTTCTGTCCCTTCAGGTTCAAATTTGTTCATCTGTCGCTTTCTCCACCTCAATTTGAGTAATAAATTCATGACAATTTTTTAATATTTCAATTGGGTTTTATTTTTCTTGCAGGTTTATGAATAATTGTAGAAAAATTATGCAAATTAAAGACAAGAATGCCAGTGCCGGCTTGCGTGATTATGGCATCCTTTTTACTTAACTAAAATCCAAATCCCTCTTGCTTTCTGTTTCTGGGTCACGACTTTCACATGAAGTCCGGCTCAAAACACTTTCAGTTACTGACTTTTGATGATTTTCTGATCAAACTTCAGTTTTACTGAGTGGATATATTCTTTTTTCTGGGCTCTTTATTAGCCTGATGATTTCTTAAATGCAATTCAATCATTGAATACTTAAGCAGCCGTGGAAATTTACTCCATCTGGGCTTGTTTGATACATTCAATGCTAGTCAAATTCAAATAGTAACCCACTTGGAAAATCACTATTTTTAACGCTTCTGAGTTTGTTGTAACTGATAAATCTGAGTTTTATTTTGTGGGTTTGTGGAGTTCGATAATTTGAAGTAGCTGTTGATGAGGGGTTGAGTTGGTCTCCACACTTGAGATGAATTTAAGGCAAACCAGTGGGAACGGTAGAAACATAGATGTTACAAAGAGCAGAGTTGCTGTTGCAGTTAAGGGGTCCAATGAAATTTCAAGAACTGCTTTGAAATGGGCTTTAACTCATTTGGTTCAACCAGGGGATTGTATTAGGCTGCTCATTATCATTCCGACTCACACCGCAAGTAAACCTTTTCTTTTCTGTCTTTCTCTGCTTTAGATCTTCCAGTAAACGTCGGAGTGAACAAACCAGAATAGCAAAGACTGATATAGTCAAATTATTTTAATTGGGTATAAGACTTGGTTGGTTGTTATTATTTTCACTAATATCAACAAGTTCTTGCCAATTTATGTCAACAATTTAGCTTTCTTTCTTTTGATGTGGGCAATGTTTTTGATTAACTTGTAGATAAGCTGTTCGTATTGCTTGTTTTGCAATGTGAATTTTGCTTAATTGCTATAAGTAGCACACTTATATGCTGTTTTTGATTTGGTACCTTTTTATGTCAACAACTTGTGTACATGATGTTTATCAATCCAGAAATCATTTGGCAAATTAATGTAAAAATCACTTGTGTGCATGATGTTTATCAATCCACAAATAATTTGGCAAATTAATGTAACATCTTCATTATTATGTTCACTATTGTGTTTTAGGTTCTAAAACTTTTTTTCTGATCTAATTAATTTTGCTGGTTTTTTTTATTAGGTAAAAAACTATGGGTTTTCCCAAGTTTTAATGGTGATTGCTCAGCTGCCCATTCGAGATCATTGCCAGGAACATTTCTGGATCAGAAAGACTATATGACAGATTTGTGCAACCAGATGTTGTATCAACTCCGTGATAGTTATGATCCAGATAAGGTAAATGAGCATACACGTGTTGAGCTTTATTTCTTTCTTTCTTTGTTCATGTTTTCTAATAATCAACGTAATTCACGACTCCTATTCACTTTGAAGGTAATTTTCAAGATGAAAGTCGTTTCCAGGTCAAAAGATGGAGTGGTGGCTTCTGAAGCCAAGAGAGCTCAAGCACAGTGGGTTGTTCTGGACAAGTAGGATATGTTTATATATAAACTCTAATTTATGTTTACTCAAGCACAGTGTAGTTTTTGTTTATGTATACACTCTAGTTTATTTGGCTCTATTTTTTTACATCCTTTATTTAGATTCTAAATTCATACTTTGGATATTTCCTAACAGAAAAATGGAAAAAGAAGCAAATTTTTGCATGGAACAGCTTGACTGCAATGTTGTAGTAATGACAAAGTCTCAGCCAAAGGTGCTTAGGTTAAATTTGATTGAAAAACCTAAGATGGAAACTGAGGTTCTGTCCAGATCGAATTTGTGGAAAACAACTAGGGTGCCAAATGTGACTCCAGCCTGTAGCCCAGAACACACATCATTGACCTCTACTGATGTTGGGAGATCTTCAGTCACAAGTTTAGACCAAGGATCCTCTCCAAGTTTCATTTCTAAAATAAATTGGGATCAGAAGGTCAAGGAGATTTTACCGTTTACAGTAAGGAACTATGACTATGACGTATCCAACACTGATTCGGACAGTGAAACCTCGACTTCTCCTTCAACAAGTATATGTTCTCAGCAATGGATGGAAGATAATCTCAGTTCTGCAGATGATTATCCAAAGCATTTGAAAAACAGTTTACAAACATCAGATTATAGAACCCCAAATTCTATGTCCGATGCTTATCACGGAGAATTTTCTGGAGTTGATAAAATATCTGGACGAGAGCCAAAAGATAAGGATGTAAACATGTACACGAACATGAGAAATCTGATATCATTAAGCAAAAATGCACCCCCCGACCCTCCTCCACTTTGTTCAGTATGTCGGCACAAAGCTCCTGCATTTGGAAAACCTCCAAGGGCATTTTCTTATGCTGAGCTCGGCCAAGCTACTGATGAGTTTTCTCAAGCTAATTTTTTGGCTGAAGGTGGATATGGTTCTGTACATCGTGGAGTATTACCGGATGGCCAGGTCATAGCTGTCAAGCAACATAAATTGGCCAGTAGCCAGGGTGACCGTGAATTTTCCTCAGAAGTGCAAGTCTTGAGTTGTGCACAGCATCGTAATGTTGTAATGCTGATTGGATATTGTGTGGAGGATCAATGGCGGTTGCTAGTATATGAATTTATCTGCAATGGATCTTTGGACTCTCATCTATATGGTGCTTCATTACTATTCATATCCTTTCTGCATATCTAATCAATATCTGTCATCAGAGAAATTGATGTTTATAACTATAGGGCTCTTTATTCAATAGACTCCATCTTAATATTATTTGCTCTAATTAGAACTGATTTCTTTTGTTTCCATGTTTTGGCTGCCCTAGAATTGTCTCTGAGTACCAATAACATCTGTCTTGGTACTTTTTGGTTTTAACTTGGGCTTACGTATTTCAACTAATTTTAACTTGGTTTTGAAAACTGTCTTTCATCTGCGTGATAAAGTAGAAGAGAAAGTGTTTGTTTGTTAAAATTTAGATTGTGTTCATGTTGATAAATAGAGAATAGATATTCATTTTGGCGAGGAAGCAATGATGCAACTTTTCTTCCCAGCCACATAACGCAAGTTTTAAAAGTGCAGGACATAGTCATGATCCCTTAGACTGGTCGTCACGTCGAAAGATTGCAATTGGAGCTTCTCGAGGTTTGAGATACCTTCATGAGGAGTGCAGAGTTGGCTGTATAGTCCATCGTGATTTGAGGCCAAACAATATTCTCCTCACTCATGAATTTGAGGCGTTAGTATGTCACTGTCTCTATCACCTTTTTCCGATTGTCTTGGTGCTGTTTCTTTATTGCTAATAATAGAATGAATTCTTTTCATTTCCTTTGGATTGAAGCTGAAACTCACTTTTAATTAGACACTAATTTACACTTTGATGGAATATCTTTATGTACTTGGAATATAAGTTAGACACGTCGGGGAGGGTTGAAGAGGGGGCTGTTATCTTGTTCAATAATAGTATAACTTCTCATTTTATCTTTTTACTATTTCCTTTTTTCTTCTCATTTAAACAAGGTTGGAGACTTTGGACTAGCAAGATGGCAGCCAGATGGAGATTTGGGTATGGAGACAAGAATAATAGGTACATTTGGGTATTTGGCTCCGGAATACGTACAAAGCGGCCAAGTCACCGAAAAAGCTGATGTATACTCCTTTGGTGTTGTATTGATGGAACTGGTCACAGGAAGGAAAGCTATAGACATAACTCGGCCGAAGGGCCAGCAGTGCCTCACAGAATGGGTATGAGCTGGAAAATCCATTTATATGTTACTCGTTTTTGTGGATAATTTGTCTTTTTGAAGTATCAATGCTGAATTTTTTCTACGACTTGTATTTTTTACGGACAATAGGCACGCCCTTTGTTAAAAGAGAATGCTGTTTCAAAACTAGTCGATCCACGCCTAAGAGACTGTTATTCGGAGCAAGAGGTTCAGGACATGTTGCGTTGTGCTTCCCTGTGCCTTCAACAGGACCCTCATGCAAGGCCTCGAATGTCTCAGGTAAGGAAATTGCACTCAATAAAAAGTAGAAAAGATCTATTCCTGCTTCCTTTGAAGAAATATACGACTAGAGATTGTTATTGTTCTACTTGGTGCAACAGCTCACTCTTGACAAAGAGTATATAGGGATTATTGTGCCTTCTTTGTCGATTATAGGTGCTGCGGATGCTGGAAGGCGACATTTTCATGGAATGAAACGTTATAACTTTTGTGTCCCAATATTTGAATTTTGTTAAATGAAACTCATCGTTGTCGACTGGCTTTGGGAGGAAAACCTCTGCATAAAACAAGGAAGGACAGCTGAACAAAGGCCAATTTTCATACTGCAGAGACAATCTGCTACATTGAATTTTTCTTTCTGATTTTCTCCAGCAGGTTAATGCTTTAATTGTTGTGTAGTTTTGTTAAAGATAGAAATAGAGATTCATTTTGATTTCTTGCTTTTTGGTTATGGCCTTAAATGAACTGTAATATATCATATTTGTGGTTTCTTTCAAACTATTTCAGGTTTTATATTTCTACTGTTGTTTGAATTTAGGAGTGGAACATTTTGTTATATAAATTTGGGGTCACTGATCTTTCTGCGAATTTCAATTTAATCATTGAACTCTAACTTGTCTCAATTGGGTCACCGATATTCAATTTATTTTTTAAATTTCATTTATCAGTTACATGACATTATAACTCACACAAATTACTTGGTTGATCATCATGTCTCGCCGGGGGGGGGGGGGGGGGGGAAAAAAAAAAAAAAAAAAAAAAAAAAAAAAAAAAAAAAAAAAAAAAAAAAAAGCAAAAAGGTTGTAGGGAACTAGTATACTTAGCATGCTTGCACCGGTCACGATCATTGATTTTATTAGACATTGTTCAAAGGCTATGGTGAAACAAATTAAAGTTCGGTGGTCATGGTGATACTGAAAGTGTGTTTGATTAACATAAAAAATATCACCTAGAAATTTTTTTTCTGGAGGAAAACAATAACCTTTTCCTCAGAGAAAATATTTTCCTTAAAAATAAGGAAAATTAGGTATATTTTCAAAAGTTGAAAAATATTTTCAATGGAAAAAATTGCAATCAAACATCGAAAGTAAGAATTTGAATGAAAAAATGATATTTTTCTTGCAAAATAAATGTAATCAAATACATCATAAGTGAAAGGTCCGTTGATTGTGACGATTCTACCTGAAAGCCCATGATCAAATCTTGAATTTGGATGACAAAAAAACCCTTCATATAATGCTTAATGAAGATTATCTTGTGTTTACACCAATTTAACATGAAATGAGAGGGACACTGAATTATTGTCTTACAATGTAACTTTAACGTACTTGTTAATCTAAGAGTGATTAATTACGCATACCAAAAATTCAACGACAAATGAAGTTCTAAATGTTATCTATTTCAAAACAAAGTACAATTATTTTAATATGAATTATTGATTTTTTGAAAATATGTGATTAAAAAAGAAGAAAAAGTTTTAGGTTTACATATAATATTAATTTATTGAAAAATATGTAATTAAATGGTTTTCCTTTGAGTTGATGGTATGGGTTTTGGAAGTGTTAGTAGTTTGGTGATTGTATTGCTGATCAGCCATTACTAAGAGACATCCTAATTTATATTTTATTTAGCCCATGTTTGAGTCACATTTTTGGAAAAAATGTATTATTCATGTCAAATCAACGAGAAATGTATGGTTAAAAAATAAGGAAAAGTTTTAGATTTGTGTATATATTATTTTATTGAAAAATGTGCGGTTGAAATGATATCAAATTACTGTTGAAAAATATATATACATTTTTAAAATAATGTGGCTCAAACAAGCCATTCGTTATTAATTTAGATTTAAATAAAAAGGTAAGACAAAAATATATCTTGGATAAAACGGAACTTAAATATGGGTTAAATAGAAAAAGTTGATAATGATACAATTTCATAAAATTTGTAATTGAAAATAATTTTGCAGACAAATAAAATTTTCGATTATAACATTTTGTACTTCAAATTAAGTGCTTAGTTGATAGAGATTTTGATAATTGATTTTTTGACCGTTAGAGATAAAGTAAGTTCTACTTATGAGAAAAGAATTCAAAAATATCCGCTGGAATAATGAAATAATGGTGAAAAGATTGATTTTAATTGACCTTTAAGTTATACCAAATAAGCTCTAAATTATAACATTTTTTAGTTGTTATTATTATTATTATTATTATTATTATTATTATTATTATTTTAATTTTTTTGGGGAAAGTCAAAAGAAAAACAATTGATTTTTCCGTAAGCATATAAATACTTGTAATGATAAATGAAAAAAAATAAAAATGAAACCCTAAGGCCCCGTTTGGTAGGAATTTTTTGCCCCAAAAAATTGATTTTTTGACCGTTATTTTACTATTTAAGCCGTAATTTTTGACTTCTTCTCTCACATGTGGACCCCACTTTTCTTCTAACGGTCAAAAAATCAATTCTCAAAATCCCTACCAAACGAGCCCTAAATCTCTCGAGCATGTCTTTACTCAACAATGGCAGGGCACTCTCCCTTGCTATCGGAAAATTCTCCTTTCAACGATTCGCCTCTTCATTTTCCTGTATAGTACTTTTTCCTCTCTCGTACATACGGTCTTCTGTGTAATCACATTTTTTGATAATTCGAAAAAATCGTTAATTCTTATTTTTTGGTTTACAGTTGCTACTGTGAATGAGAAATCGAATGGTACAACGGCGGGAACAAACCCTAGCTTCATTCATCCTTCTACAGTTGTTCATCCCAATGCCATTTTAGGTCAGGTATTAATTTTAAGCGTTTATAGTCCAAAACATCCTTTTTTTTTTTACTATTCCTCGTGCATAAGAATCAACTATAAGTGCGCCAAGTATATTATACCCTGTATGGCCTGTGAATAACTAGCTGAAAATCCTGAAATGGATAAGTGTAATTTGTGGTGATGGTGGTGTATTTTTTGTTGAATATAAATGAATTTTTCGAATTGGAAGTCCTAAAAAGTTGCATCAATTTTGGATTGACATTTTCCCTTATTGCATTCTTACTTCTGAGCTTTAGTTCCGTGCAAACAGGCACTACATTTGTATTCTATTCATCTTTGTATTAGATTTTCTTAGGTCCCTTTGACAAGAAGTTATGTATTCTATCGCTTCATGTGCATTTCTGTCTTTGAATTCATAAATTGTGTAGGGATATATTGTTATGATAGAGGTAAATTTATTTATAGTGAGAATTCGCGCTGATGCCACTTGATGCCACTTGCAGGCCTCAGTAATTTATCATCTACAAATAGTGACATCAAAAGTGTTGTGCTACAGTGTGTCTTTCATTATTCTTGTACTTGAGTATTTAGTGATTTTGATACATCACTTGGCTAGAAAAAATGCAATACTTTATGCGTCCATTTTTTTTGATTCGTTCCTTTGCAATGCTCATGTCCTGAAAGTTTTATGTTTCTATTCTGAATACTTTGGGGTTTGGCCTTTTATTTTATCAGTTGTCTGAACAGAGTGAAAATTTCTGTTAACTTAGGATGTTTCAATTGGTCCCTTTTGTACCATTGGACCTTCTGCTAAGTTGGGAAATGCTTGTCGGCTACACCCTGGGAGCCATGTGGTTGGAAATACAGAACTAGGGGATAACTGCATCTTGATGGCGTAAGTTGGATAATTTTGTTTTCCAGTCTTATAACTGAGGTGCAGTTAATTTCTGTTCCTTCTATTTGAAGCCTAACATGCTCACTGCTGCAACCAGGGGTGCTATAGTCGGAGATGATCTTCCAGGTCGGACAGTTGTTGGTTGCAATAATATAATTGGACATCATGCTGTGGTGGGGATTAAATGCCAAGATATGAAGTACAAGGTAGCAAATTCAAGATTTTTCAGTATTTGATTGACTTGACATCCAGAAAATGATAATGCTTGATCTACTCTAACGTCTGCATTCACGCTCACCTGCAGACATTCATCTGTCCTTCTTACTTATCCCTGACAACATGAATCATTAGCAATACAGGCACAATCACTGCCTGTTTGATAATTAAAAATATGTCTTTTCCTGATAATGTATACATGGGTACTATAAGTATTTGTGAAGAAACTGAAATGTAGTTTCTGACTTTCCGTGCACGTGCAAATTTGAAAAGGCCTGAATTCGATATTAGTCAGGCACATGGCAGTCGATTAATTGCCCAATTATTCAGATTGATAGTTGCATTATATATCAATATCCTGGTTTATTTCAAGTGTTGGCTTTTGGGTATAGGATATGATGCTTTTCAGGAGTAGGTATTGATTCGAGAGTCTATGAGTCAATGTCCTGCTTAGCGTATAGTTATACATGTTGATTGCTGCATTATCAGTTCTACCTCCATTAAAGTTGCATTTAATAGCTAAAAATATTTCAATTAGTCTCCAAATGACAGATTTAATCTATAGAGGGTGGGATTGAATAGTTAAACTGCATTACGAGTCTTTACAAGATCATCCTCGCTTATGAATTAAACAACGTTTTTCGTTCTCTCTTTTAGAAAATTCCTGAAGTCAAAATGCCTACATCCACTCCCAGAAGACAGTGTTTAGACTTGTGGCACTCTCAATAAGCCTGCAAAAGAATTTAGCTGGTCACTTGGTTGACTGGGATACTGACTTACAATATATCAATAATCAAAAGTTTTAAAACTTTAACCCAAGTGAAGAAAAAGTTTGACTATTTGATTTCTATATCAGATAGCAAGAACAAATTGCTTGCAAATACAAAGTATCTCTCAAAAGACTATTATTAATGTTGACAGATTAACTGCTATGTGTTTCTCACAAGAAAGCTTTTGGAGACTTGGCTGCTCACTTTAAGATTCAACTCTAAAGACAATTTTGTAACTATATACAGAATTGATGGTTGTACATGCAAAATTATTGCGGTGGCTTTATGTTCTTCTTTTCTTGTTCACTTCACTTCTCTACTTATCTATGCAAAGGACGAGGAACAGAGGGAGATTCTAATGGATTTTATTCCTGTAATTAACCACTTATTCAAGCATGATAATAAAGTAGAATTTATTATTTACATATTTATTATATTTAGGTCATGAAATTTACTCTTTCGTTGATTCACTAACTTTCCATGGGTTTTAATTATAAGTAGTAGGCTTCGAATTATGCAGATTGTTGTTGTAAACCTCTAAGAGTTAACAGAAAATTCTATCATCTGAAACTATAAGCATCCCATGATTTGTGTTATGTTTACCTCTCTGTTACACGAAATTCAGCTTTTATATCAGGTTTTATACACATATGTTAGTGGTCTGGGGTCTCAGTTGCTATTTATTTTAGATATTTAATAATGATTTGATTAAAATATTATTATCCAAAAATGAGAATAAGACATTCCTAATTATTTTATTAACTGAATTAGTCTAACTTATTGGTTTTGGATATTCCTATTTGCAAAGGAATTAAACTATGTTTGGCCATGGCTTGTTGGTATTCGTATTTGGAATAGGAATTAACCTTGTTTAGATGGAAGTTATCTACATGGTGATGTCGCAATAGAGCAAATTTTATTCTAAAATTTGTTCTTTATAGGGCTTCCCCATTCCTCTACATTTTGAGGAAAATATGGCCAATCTGATGATTGACAAATACTGAAAATTCTGGGAAACACTTGGGAGACAAACGCTGAACAATTTCTTCCAGCTCTACGTCCATGTTTGGCTATAACGTTCACATTTTGCTGGACCGAAAATTACTGCCTACGTATCCATCAATTATTTCTATTTATTTATAAATTAAACCGTTTGTAAACACTTCCCAAACAAGCTTTAAGTGGTGAAAAAGCCAAACATAATGGCAACATTATAATGCAGTAAACTCGTATATTCTTCAAACATTATTGCACTTTTTTGCCACAGTATTTGTATATACAAGCTGAAATCTTCACCAACAAAGGTCATGCACAAAATAGAAAATTTTGGACTGCTTTTAATGTCGAAGAAAGCTAAATTTCTAGCAAGCTCTTAAAATGCATCTGTGGTCTTTTCTGCACTCAATTTTCTACGAACTCTATCCATATCTTAGCTTGAGACAGAAAAAATCTAGCACATAATTGCATGATGTGGTGCAATTGGCCAGAAAATACTGTCTGTGGAGAGTTTGGTGCTGAATTTTCAAATTTATATAATCATGTTTGAGGTATATCAATTCATTTTCTACTATGACGAATTGATATCTTATATGCTTAGGCTACAGGCATACCTCTATCAACGTTCAACAATTTTTGTCATAATACATGCATGATGGTTGAGTCAAAATAGAGTATCCTATTGTTCTAAATTCTAAGAAAAAGTTGTATTAGGAACTTACTTCAATTAGCAATTAAGATGACATGAACAAGATGCAATGTACTACTAGAGTTTAGAATGGGTTGGCAAAATGAGAAATGTTGCAAGAATTCTATATAATCAAGAAATATTATTAATGTGTGATCTCAATAGAATGAATAATATAAGTTTTAAACCCCATCATCTAAAAGCTTAAGTTGTGGGCTTGTGGACACATATATTTGTTTCAATGTTAATCCTCAACATGCTGCCTTAGATAGAAGCTGGATTCATTTTTTTCATCAAATGCCTAACATGTGAACTTTTATAAGCGGGTGATTGCAAGGCTTGAATTTGGACGTTTGCATGCTTTGATACCATGTTGAACTACATTGTCTAAAAGTTTAAAAGTGTTAGTGACGGTGCACGTCTATTTACTTAATTTTTAATCTTCGACATTAAGAAATGAGTCTCTATATGAGTGATGGTGACACTAATTAATGCTAAATTAAGGAGAGAATGTCTTAGATGAGTTGGGGCATGTTGAGCATAGATCTAAAGAAGCACTTGTTCACTGAAGCAAAATTCTAGTGGAATAAGTTGGAGTAGAGAATAGGAAAATTAAAATGGCATGAGGTCGTTGTAAGTAGTAACTAATTTTACCTTTTAGATGCTGTAGCTCTGTCTGAATGTTCTATCCAAAATCAGGTTCATATATCCGCCCTTTGCCCTGCTCTGCAGAGAATAAGATTTAAATCTTTATTCTGATTTTTGTTCTACAAGATAAGGATTCCAAAATTAGATTCTGAAAAAATCTGCTTGACCTAGAAGTACAGTGGCTCATTGTTTCTTGTTTATGTCTTTGTTTGTTCATCTATCCCTTCCCTGAAAAGGCCTTGTTTCTTGGCCTGCAAGTGAGCTGTTGGTTCGCCATCACTATAATTGAGCAGTGATTTTCTTAATTCTATTTCTTTTTCTGGCTCCTGTTTTATTTATAATGTTCTTTCCTTATTTATTTTTTAATTTTTGGGTTTGGTAGGGTGTCCAATCCATACTTTGTAGGATCTGCTAAGTTTTGGTGGTTATTGACCCTTCTTATGCTTTCTATTTATCCTTTCTTCTACTCACTTCAAAGTTCTTGTGACATGGAGTTAGGTCAAGATTTTTGTCATCCAAAAACATTTTGTGTTCTGACTTTTCATGATTTGCATCATGACATCTTGACTTCTTAATTGTTTTTGTTTGGTTTTTAGGTTGCAGTCAATTCAACATCTTTTGGTTTAGAATTTATGTTCACGTAATGGTGTTACCTATGACCAAAATATAAGTTCAGTGAACTTCAAATGTCGACATTTGTAAATTCAACTTCTTTGTCTACTTTGAGATAGAGATGGACAGTAATAAAATATTTCATTTGATTACTTTAGCCAGAGAATGAATGCTTCCTAAAGATTGGTGACAACAATGAAATCAGAGAATATACATCCATCCATAGATCTTCAAAGATAACGGACAAAACGGTATGAAACTACAATATACATATATATATGTACATATATATTTTCCGAACTTGAGATCCAAAATATATGTTTGTTTTCTTAATGTGAACATATGACTCATTAAGTATTGCACGAGTAGGTCATTGGTGACAACAATCTCATAATGGGATCTTCTCATATTGCCCATGACTGCAAAGTGGGCAATAACAATATTTTTGCAAATAATACTCTTCTGGCTGGCCATGTTATTGTGGAGGTGTGGAATTATATAATTATGTTCTTTTATGGAGCCTAATATCATTTCAGATGGTATATCCCAATCATGGATTCAAAGGTGATTCATGTGATTTACTTGTTCACTTGTAGGATTATGCTCATACAGCAGGAGCTATTGTTGTTCATCAGTTTTGTCGTATCGGTTCTTTTTCTTTCGTTGGTGGTGGTTCTGTGGTAAGGATATTATGTAATTAAGTAATATCCTATTACTTTGCTTTTCCCCTCCCATATAGCACTGAACCTGGCTTGTGAAAAAACAGTCAAAGACCCTTAAATTGGTTCTCCGTGAAAGCTCCATGTCAAATAAATTTGGCTTGCTGATTATTTTGATTACATTCCTAGAGAACAATATTACAATGCCAATTTGATCTTTTAGAAAATTTGTAATGTTGCACTTAGTTATTATGGATTTACGTTTCACTTATAAGTGTTGTATTGTTTGGAATTATGTGCAAGCATGTCAAGAAGAGTACAATAATTAATGATGCTTTAATATCCAGAGTGTTTTATTCTTTATCTAAACGAAATTTTTTATTGGTAGGTTTGCAAGCGATAGTTTATAGCTTGGTTATTTGTAAATCACTTGAGTCCCATTCATGTTTGAAGCTTCTGTTTCTCTTGTATTCTGAAGGTTTCTCAAGATGTTCCAAAGTACACAATGGTTTCTGGAGAAAGAGCTGAGCTGCGTGGATTAAATCTAGAAGGTCTACGACGACGTGGATTCTCAACCATGGAGGTTAGTTTTTGGTCTCTTCACACTGAATGGATTTCTGGTAGTTTAATTGTGTGAGAGGAATTCTAGTTCTGTATTTATGGTTGCACCACAATGGGACCTGAGAAGGCACTGTAGTCTGTAGGGCATATTGTTCACGAAATATTTCTTTTGATTTAAATTACCACAAGTGTACGGGTCGTGACAAGTAATAAAGTGGACTTTAGAAGTCCGAGTATCGTCTCACAGAGAAAGAGTAGTTCAATTTTATTTATTTTAGCCTTAATCGAAACTAATTGACTTAAAATGAATTTTAGAATTAAAAGCCCTAATTTTGGGAGAAATCCCCAAATTGAAGAAACCTAATTTCAAATTAAACCATAATTACTCAAATTCACTTAACGAATGACTCAATTACGAAAATGTTATGAAAATAACTGAAATGTATTGTCAATTTATGAAAATCTACGTAAAACGAATGCACTAGGATCACGAATCCCCAAATAATTATTAAGTAAACCCTAATTTCTCAATTTTGATAATCCAATGAGAATTTGACAAATCAATGCTCCTAAATCTATTCAATACTCTCTCTCGAGATGTATTGAACCTATTCTCATAAATCACCAACCTATATTTCTATGACGGATGCAATTATACAAGAACACATGTAATTTTTTGTGAGCAATTAAAGATTTACATAGGGCATAGGGGTATATTTCTATTCCTTATCGGACCCTATGATGAATTATATATGTCGAGTTTAATCAAATTTTCTCAAATTCAGAATTAAACCACCAAATTCACACAAATTAAGTGCACATTAATTGTGGAAATAAATAAATCAATATAATTCATTCAAATAATCCCAGCGAACTATGAATTCAAAGTCATGAAATAACAGGTTTAATAATAATTACATGGTTCATCGATCACCTAGTTACAGAAATCTAGCCTATCATGATAAAAATAACAAAATCTATCAAGTTTTGAATAAAATACATCACCGGGTTATCAAAACTTGAAGAAATCTTGTAAATCTTTGCATCAATCCTTGTTCTTGCCTTCAAATCTTCTCTAAAATGAACGTTTTTGCCTCCCAATTTGTTCCTGCCGGCTTCTGGACGTTTTTTGCTATTTAAACCCGTTGAAATTAGGTTACCAAAGGAGTTGCAATCATATAAGGAAACTGCAAAAATCGGGCACAGATTATACCTTTGCGACCGCATAGGCATAACCTATGCGACTGCATAGGTATATGGATTTTAGCGTTTTTAATCCCTGGAAGGTTACTCGCGGCCGCATAGATTTTCTACTATGCGACCGCATAGTAGAGTGAACTTCTAAATTGAGTCATTTTGATCCTCAAGTTTCATTCCTTCACTCCTTGACCTCCTCTCTTGTTTCTAGTTGCTCCAATGTTCCATTATAACTTCTAATTGGTGCTTAGCTTGATCAATTGCTTGATGTGTTCATCTGATCAACTTTCAGATAATTGCAATTTGGTCCCTGAATTTTCATTTTGCTCCAATTTGGTCCTTTTTTGGCTCTTTTCTCCTGAATTCCACTATTTTCATAGAATCACCTACATTGCATGAATTTGACAAAATTAAGTAATGATTCAATCATTTTACTTGTATTTAAGTCATGTTTGTGATGTAAATAAATGTGCAAAAACACACTTATCACATATTTTTCTCTTTTTGAGATTGTGAACTTTGAGAACACAATAGACCATTCTCTCTTTTCGAGACTCTGAAATTGGATTGTTGTTTTCACCATGCTTCCACTTAATTGTTTTATTATTTAATATACTATTTCTGCTTTACTGTCCCACAACGGTTACATTAGTTGGCTTGGGACTAAAGATTACACAAACAATTACGTTTAGAACTTTCTATCCACTTCTATAGAAGTGAAACACCAGCATATAATGATGGTAAATTTTCTGTTTTCCTTGTTGGTTTTTGGGCAATTGTGGAATAGGGTCGAAGAAACCATGTTGATAAGATACATAAGCTTACATGCATACATGGGATCAGAGGCGGATTCCGGGAAGGTCTTGGCTCCTGCAATCCCAGATAAAAAATTCTATGTGAAAAAAAACTATTTTCTACTATATAGTCCCCATCAAAATTTGCTATAGCTCAGCCCAACTTTAAATTAGTCTACCCATGCTCTAGCCTAATTCCCAATTGCACGTTTAAGCCTATATTGTGATACCCTACCTTGTCAGCCCAATGTAATGATTTCAATTGTAATTTCAACACCCAAATTCAACCTAAATTTAATTTCTAATTTCATCGGTCCAAATTTTTGACCCTTGTTTTTGCTGTTTATTTGCTTATGTTAAGGGCCTTAAATTTAAGATCATATGATCTGATATTAATTATTGGAATAATTGATCGTGGATGAATATAGATTACTGTATAAATTTTATGGGTAGCAACTTGATGGGTGATTATTTCAATTTTTATTAATTGAAAATGAAGAGAACTTTGCAAAATTACATGACATGCAAATTTTGTTGAAAATCTTTGGCTTAATTATGATACTTTTATTTATTTTTTATTTTTTTAAAGGAAGGATGTGGGTCAGAAAACAAGGCGGGTTGGATGAGCAATAAGTAGGGTGTGTGAAAGGAGGAGTAAGTATATTGGGATTTTTACAAGAAAAAGAGACAATTTTGACTTTTTCAGCTGTCACATAGATACTTGAGACTTGATGCATTTTAATAGTAATGCTGTATAACGACTTTTTCAGTTATATATGAATTTTATTCACGCAAGGACTTTAAAAATTCGGCCACTAAAAGTGAATTCCTGGCTCTGGCCCTGCATGGGATTGAAAACTAGAGATATAAGTGATACAGCATGGGGATCTTTTCTTTGAACAAATTCTGATGGGGTGGATTTTGTTTACTACATAATGTTGCTTGCAAATTGAAGTGTTATACCCTACCATATAAAAAATCCAACTTTGACTCTATGGGTTGTTATGTGCAACCGTAGCTGTTAATATTATTCTTGATATGGTGGTTGCATATTATATGAATTCCCCGCTTGCTACTATTTAGGAAATGGAGTGAATTGTTGAATCTTTCAATTACTTTCTGGTCACATGACTAGCCTTGCAATTTTCTTTGGAAGGTTTCAGATAAAGAGCCTACGGGCAGCTTATAGAATGATATTTATGCCCATTGATGAAAACTCTGGAAGTATTGAAGACCGTCTAACTAAATTGGTATAAAATGGCTAAAATACTGTTTCTTTATCTATAGTTTGGGAATAGATCCCCGTTAAAAATATTTCCGATAACATTAATCTTTCAGGAGCAGCACAAGGAATTGTCTCTAGTTCCAGCTGTTAGTTCTATGGTACAGTCTATCCGAGATTCCTTTGCAGAAGATCGTCGTGGAATTTGCAAATTTAGATCTTGGAGTGCGTCGTGACATTCGCATCAGGTGCCTGATTGTTTGTTTTACACGCACTTGGAAGATTCTATTACCATGGCCTAAAACTAGTTATTTTTACCTCAAATGATAATTAAGTATTTTGATATACAGTAATAAAAATTTCCTTTGGCTTTTCAAGCCATTAGTAATTTTTACATTTTACTAACGTCTGTTTCTGGTTCTCTTGGTGCTTTTGCTGACAGAAATTCCCTGATGTACTTGTAGATCTTATCCAGAAATCATACTGATGGTGCAACCTTGTTTTGATTGGGTAAAATATTAATATCTTTTGTGTACGGCTTTTCTTGTATTATTTGATGGTTAAGTATTTGGAATACTCAAATTTATACGTCAAAAACTGCAACAAGTATAGAGATTGAGGAGTCTGACGAAGGTACTCTCTGAAGATTTTAGCCTGCAGTAAAAGAGTTTAGGCTGCAGCAGTTACTAGAACGCAGAAACATATAGCAATTTGAATTCATCTTGACTTTAACTGACGTATGTATGCTTGAATGGATCAATATCTTTTGACTGGATATACCTTGTATTGATCTTATGAAACTTCATGTGGTCTATTCTGGCACTATTATTTGGTGGTGTTGGTATTCCTTGACAAGGGTATTTGCGATTTTTGAGGCAATTTTTTTTAATTAATTAATTTATTTTTTATCATCATAAACACGATGGAAGGTGTTTACCTCTAAATTTGATGAGATTAACGGATTTGACTTCTTTCTTGTTCATGTGTATGTTAGTTGCACACTTGAACTTGAGTTTTAAGATAGTACGTAATTGTAGCTTTGGGGGGGAGTTAACGGTCTTGGACATCTCGATGCTCAAGTTAGACAGTGAAAGGATATTGGGTGCGGGAGACAATGGACAGAAATGTGGGTGTTTGGTTGAACAGAGAATTTCCAAGATCGAGTGTAACCATTTTTTTTCTCTTAAACCTTTGGGTGTGATGTGTGAGTATTTTATCTTAGAGAGAGATTGGTCGAGGTTAATTGAATGTTTGACATGTGGCTTCATCCTAACAGCTCACTAATCAAGTGCAATTGTGGTGACTTCCTACCTTAAATAGAGGTTGAAAAGTTTAATTGTGCAATGCTGTTGTAAAGATGTCACATTAAAAAATCACGTGTATTGTGTGCAACTGTGATTTGGTCAAGGCGATGCTTGTGGAAGAGGCCCGTCATAGAAGATCTCACTGGCCTTCAGTAGTACTGTATCACAAATATGGTATATCACCTCGGATAATAAAAATTCGGATAAGCGTTCGAAGGCATGGTCTGATTGTCTTGATTTGTACACGTGGGAAGAGGTGATGTCGAAGCAAAGTGCTGACCTTGCGTAACCACTTTGCTCCTTGCTTGGTTGATTTGTGGTTTGACTCGTAGGTCAAAGCGTAACAGTAGTCCCTCTAGTCAAAGCATGAATGTTTATGTAAAGCATGAACTTTGAGTGAGAGTGAAAATTACAATTATCTTGCAGGATGATGCACGCAAAGTTAGGAACAAAGATCTTATTGGATGAAGCATCTCATGAAGTAGGTGTCATGAAATCCAAATAGGAGGCTAACTTAAATGGAGAGTACTGGTGGGCAAAAAAATCGATCAGACCGACCAAACAAATCGAGTTGGGTATTTTGGAGTGGTTTGAACCAAAAAAATCGGTTTGGTTCGATTAATTTTAATCATTTAAAAATTGGGTATAAGCAACTAGCCCATCAATTAACTGACCAACTGCTAATATATATTTTTTATTTCATATTTTTAAACTTTAAAAATAAAATAATAAAAATGTAATTATAGTTCTTTCTTAAATAATTTGTTTATCGTTTAAGTTTCTTTTATCAAAACTCCAATTTCAAAAGGAAGAAAAGCAATGAGAAATTATTTGTTGTGAACTAAACCATGCCCAGGCGTGATGGAGAGGTGACGTAGTGATGATGTCATCATAGCTTGATCATCGATGATGATGTCATCATAGTTTGATCATCAGTGATAAAGTGACGGACAACTTATCGACACTAACTATGAGGTGACACTGGATGAGTGTGAATAGTACCTAAGTTCAAGCATAAATACTCATTGGCTTTAAGTAATAGATGTTGATGGTGGATCGAGCTCATAAATTCAAAGTGAGTAACTCCCACTTCGTCAGGGATTAAGCTCTAATGCATAGGTGAAATCCTATTTCAGGGATGAGGCTCTTTTGTATAGGCGATGAATAAAGAATTTGATGTGAAGAGCTCTTCTATATGAGGTGACGGCAAGTTGCACACATTCGAAAGCGACATATAATGTTGGAAATGTGCCAATCATTGACGGTCGTGTGGGGAAGACGATCGTAGGCAATGGTGGCCTAAGGGCGTGGAGGGCTCTTGCTATTCTGAGGCAATGCGGCTCGTCTGTCCTGAAAGAGATAAGGACTATTTTTTTGTGTTTTCCAGTTGTACCTTTAAACAATGAAAATCATTCCGTCTTATAGGGACAAATTCAACACCCACAATTGTGAATTTTAATTAATTGAATTATAAGTTACAAATCTAAAATTATGATTTTCTAAATTTGTAATTAACTAAAAATTATAATAAGAAGAACCAACTTTATTTTTAATTTACAACAATCCTCCACAAATTCTAAACTTTCAATATATATCTTAATGAAGCGACGAATTAATGTCATAAAGCATGTACTCTTTAATTTTACATTAGATTACATATTTTCGCCCTTCTTAAGACTTAAATCAACTTCATTGAGAACAATGATTCTTATAATCCATGATGCACATCTCTTTCAGAGAATTCAAATTTAAAAATTTTACTGAGAAATTTCTATAGAAAAGTGTTTTGACACAATGAAATTTCAAGCCTAAATATAGATACCATGCTGTTTATATATTCATGGATGATGCAAAACAAGCTGGGGGGTTTTAACCAACAAAAAAAGAGAAATAAATATATTGGCTGTTTTGAGATATTATAAATGCATATTACAGTATGCTAGAATTCACAAAATAATATCTAAATTGGGGGGAAAAAATCTTGCTACATTGTTGGTAGTCAGGCCATGACTACTTTGAGAAGCGCTTAATGGCAACAAGCTGGTTATTTCGAAGCTTCCCTCTATAGACAACATTTCGAGCTTTCTCTCCACTCTCTGAAACAATGAAATCGCTGTTGAACTCATTTGTTAAGACTTGGAAGGTCAACTTTATTAAGTGGAGAAGTCCAAGATTTTTATAAATTGGCATTTATTTTGGTATTAAATTGATGTGTGATAACACATCATTTAACAGGCTCCCTCAAGATGGTGGCTCATTTAAGCAGACCAATCTTGAAATTCACGGGATGACTTTGATACCATGTTAAGACTTGAAGTCCATCTTATTAAGGTCGACCTTATTAAGTGGAGAAATTGGTATTTATTTCGATATTAAATCGATGTGGGATAACACATCCCTTAATTGTCTCTTCCACACGCATACACGGAATGAATGATGACATTACTATTGTATTGATTTCTACTGAATTAAAGGGAAATACTCGGCTATAAGTTATGGTTCTATGCTAGTTTTCATTTTCGAAAAAGAATAAAAAATTAGATAGCAGATCAATGACGTAACTGATGGAGGTTCTCATCCATGTCTTTAAAAACATCTTCATTTAAAGGGAGAAACTTTCGGTTTGTGAAAATGCAGACATAGCATAAAACAAAGAGACCAAGGGGCATACAAACATAGAGGTAGACGCTAGATATAATTAGCATGTGTCTAACCAAAATATATATTAATTATAGCGAGGAACAAGAAAATGTACATACGAACCTATTCCTTCAAAAATTCAATTAGTGCAAAACAGTATATAGTTGATATTGTCTCTTGGCGTCCTTTACCTTCAAAGAAACCCCATTACACAAATCTTCAAGTGCTGCATCAAGTTAGATAATCACATCATCATCGCCTTTCACGGTCTTCTCCTCCTCTTCTTCCTCCTCCTCCTCCATAGGGTCTCCACTAAAAAACCTATAAAAACTATCCTTGTAAGCATGAGAGAGATAAAGCATAACACTAAGATTAAAAATGAAAGATGATCCACAACAATTTGGACAACGATATGTCAAATCACATAAATTGGGCTCAAGAAAAAATAATTTTGAACCAGATATGTCCGAGTTATTTTGATAGAGAAAAAGTATTCTAATACCTATATTTTATTGATAAATAAAAAGAAAGAAAAGGAACATTCATGAATATGTATGTTTAAATGAAAAGTGAAAAGGTAATACAAATCAAATTAATTTAAAACGAAAAGTAACAATAATTTATTTGATATTAAGTCCATTAATTCCATTAACCAATGGTAATTAACTTCATTATTCCCCATTAACCTGAAAATGTCTTTACAATGTGTGTAAGTTATGTGTCTATGGAGGAAAGAACAGATATATCTATATATATTTGAGGTGAGATGATTTTCTTTTACCACAAAGTTGATATAGTACACATTTTACACTACTAACACTTTTGAAATTGAAACGGAGTATCGTTTTTATATTTTTCACAAGCTATATTTTCAAATATTTTGATATGAATTGAGCTAAGAATACCTAGTGCAAAGCGGTGAATTCTAATTTTTAAGATGTTTATATAATTTCAGCATAAAATACTCTAAATCCTACAAGAAATGATAAGCTATCTGATATTGGGACTAGTTTGCTCTAATTCTAAAAATGTCAATATGTTATGTCATTTTTTTTATTTATATCATGTTAAAATAAGAATTTGCAAGTATTTTTACTAGGTATCTTCAAAATACTCTCTTACAAAAATTTCAGGTTAGAACACGTCTTGTTGGACGCGTGGAAGATTGAACAAGTTGATATCTATTGGTCCCCAAGTAAAATTCTAGC